CTCGTGGGTTCGCACCTCGCGAACCCAGGCTCTTGGGTGCGAACCCACGAACTAGGTTCGTGAGGAACCCAAGCTCTGGGTGCGAACCCGTGAGCTGGGTTCCTCACGAACCCAGACTCCTGGGTTCGCCTGAGGTAAAAGGAGAAAAAGAAAAAAAAAGAAAAGGCCGGAGGAAGGAGAGGATGGGGGAGGAAAGAGAGGATGAGGGAGGAAAGAGAGGATGAGGGAGGAAAGAAGAGGGTAAATTAGTAATTAAAGGAAAAAATTTTAAAATGTCATCAATTTTTGAGGGGCAAATCAGTAATTAAAAGTAAAAAATTTAACCATGTCATTAATTTTTGCCACGTGGATTTTTCACATAATTTAATAAAAAAACAAAATGAGTTTTTCCGTTAATTAACCGGCCACATCAACCAAAATTTAACGGAAAGACTAAAAAGGGGCCGGATTTGTGAACAGTAAGGACCAAAAAGAAGATTTTTTCAGTACAGGGACCAAAAAATGGCTTTTTCCTATAGTAGAGGGACCAAAAAGGGTATTTAACCTAATATAAATCGTAGGCTAAACTATGAGATCAAAAGGTAATTAGCTCATATGTGATAGTAGTGAGACCGAGAGGTAATTAGTTCACATGTGATAGTGGAGGAAGAGAAGAGAGTTATGATATCTCCCTCTCCCTTCTTAAGTTAGAGGTTTCCATAGAATTTAATGTTCATTAATTTGTTTTAAATTATATAGAGATATAATTAATATAACAAACAAGTGAAAGATTAACTTGACTTAAGAAAGTTAGTTAATTAATTTAGGAAAATTCACCACCGCATGCAATAACACTCAACAAATTGGTTTTGGAAGCATATTAATCCATAATTTATATTGATTAATTATGGTGAAATCAATGTTTTAGTATCTCATATTTTGATTAGCTTTATTTTAATTGTTATTTTCTTTTTATTATTTTTAATTAAAGTTTATTCTTTTTTGATTGTTCAAATAAATTTAAATTAATTATTTTGGTACTTAGTTAATCACAATCCTCATGGGTTCGATACTCTTCTCATCATTATATTATTTGGAGTGACTAATACACTTACTAAAGTGATTTTAGTGCATCAATGCTCATCATGGAATAGCTATCTCAAAAGTATGAAAATCAAAAGAACCCATATTGAATTTATTAGGTTACATCTTAGCCCTAGTTGACTAAATCGGTTCATAATAAAAATAATAAAACTTGAAACCATAATTATGAACATTTGAATATCAAACAATAGATAAAAAGAATTGAAGGAAAAATAAAGTCCAATTTGAGGAAATTAAACTCCTTGATCTTCTATTGTTGATGAAATATCTATGTTAATCTCCAATAATGCATAAAAGAGGGCTGCCACCAGCCTCCCAAAACTCTCTCAATTCTGAATTTGGATGGATATTTATAGAATTTTAAAAACCTTAATGGAAATAGAAGTGGGATTTGAAACAAAATAGGAAACTTGAATTTTGGATACTGAATGCAGGGTGCTCACACCTCAAATTCCATGTTGACACAAAATAAGAAACAGAAAGTTTAATTCCAGACACTTAACACATGGTGTCAATACTACACCTATGTCGAGTTTTTGGCCTCTTTTTGTAATTTCTTCAATGGTAAAATAGCAAATCTGGTCCTTCAACTTTTGTATGATGAGCACTTAGATCCCAAATCTCAAGATTCATTCATTTAGGTCCCAACGAGATGCCCTTCTTCTTGTAATTTAGTCCCTCCACTTTCAAAAGATGTTCAATTAATCCCAAAACTCCTATTTTTATGCATTCAAGTCCTTTTCTACATAAAGAATGAAAACCATGTAAAACCTTCTAAAATTCATCCAAATATTAATAATACCAAGGCAAAAATTCTACATTAATATATATAAAAATTTAGCTCATTAAATTCCCCCAAACCTAAGTTTTGCTAGTCCTCGAACAAAATAAAAAGACAAAAGAAACAAAAATAACACTTAACTCACTTTTGTAGAAATCATGATTGCGCTTAGCATGTGCAACAAGTCTTTAAACCCCTAGGTCACTCTAGTGGACGAGTTGTATCTGATGAGGGTTTTTAGTGGATCTATCCATAAAATCCTAATGCAAAAATGCAACTATATGATATGCATGCAAAGAAAATCTAGGAATTAAAATTCAATTAGAGGCAAAGTCTTAAATATTCAAGAGTTCTTATATACTAACTTAAAGTAAAACACTTCATCCTATTCTTCACACGGCCTATCAAAAGATTTAGCTCATGAGCACTTAGTGTGTGTGTGGAAATTCTTAGTAAGAAGTCTTGAGTTTAGACCTCCACACTTTAGCATTTATTATCTAGTTGGCTTTAGGGCATTCGGTCAATAGACACACCTAAGAACATATTTACTCAAGTAACAAAGGCCATGAAACATTTGACTGCTCTTTTTTTTTTTTTTT